GCAAGAAAAAAGCTGAGAATTGACCATTGGATTTAGTAACTTGGGAGCCATTGGTGACTTTAATAGGAACCATAAATATACCACAGAGATTAGATAGATAGAAATGAAAATATATACATATATAGTAAATTTATACACTTGCATAGAATATCTATGTATATATAAATTGTGTTTATGAAATAATGCATATGTATAGTTTATATAGGGTATATGTAATATTAACAGTAATAGAATTGTATTAAGGTTGTCTAGAGGAACAGAATCAATGAAAATACATGTATAATTATGCAAGGGAATTTATAGTAAGACTTACAGAATCACAAGCAGGGGGGTTCACAGTGGTGGTCTGTGGCATCAGAGGAGGGAGAGTCCACTATGGCCATCTGTGCACTGGAGAGTTGGAGGATCCGTTGCTACTCAGGCCAAGAAGATGGAAGTCACAGAACAAGAAGGATCATGGATGTAGAGCTAGTCCAAGGTCAAACAGTATACTTGCATGTATGTGTATATCTAGGTCACTATAGAGATCTATTTACTCAATAATTAGCAGTATGAAAATACCACAAATGGCTGCTATACCTTCATAAATACTTTTAGAAAACATTTATCCTCTTGTAACAATTGAGAATTATTTGAAAACACAGAAAAATTAAAAAAGAAAAATAGCGATCTTCAATTCCAGTAGATAATCCAGTTAGTGGTTTTTTTATTTTATTATTTTTTTTTTTTTGCAGTTAGGTGGAGAGAGGGTAAGGGGTAGGTAGGTAACAGGTAGGTTTCTCTCTCTGTGTATATAGGTGTGAACTATATATGTTACATAAGTGAAATATGCTGTATGCAGAAACTTTTTTGCTTTATGTTTTATCCTATTCTCACAAGATTAAATCTTTGTCAATGCTATTTTTATGCAATTCTATCATTCTTAATAAATAGAGAAGAATAAAACTAGCATACAGATCAGAATCAGTCATGTAATGAACTCTGCATGGTAGGCTGCATTTTTCTTCCAGAATCTTATGAAAGTAAAAGGAAGCATTTTGCAAATATACCAATAAATTTAGTATTTCTATCACCTTTCCTACTCTGTTCATCTCATAGAGATCACATTTCTGCCTCTGGAAAATTAGCTGCCATATAACCATAAATATAACTGAGTATGTGGTTCTTCAGTAGTTCACTTTTAGCAACTGTCAGTCCTGAACCTCTAAGCCTCAGAACTTGGCAATTTTAGGGATGTTTACTGCCACCCCTTCCTGGAACTTGAGGACATATCAACAAGTAACAGTGCAGCCAACAGCTGCTAACGTGCCTCTTTATACCCCAATTTCTTTGGATTTGACTGTGTTAAGTAATTGTTGATTCAAAGCAGTGGTTTTCATGTGCTCAGCTTGGCAGCACATATACTAAAATATCAAAGCAGTGGTTTTCAACTGGAAGTGGTTCTGACCCTTAGTGATGTTTAATGATGTCTGAAGGCATTTTGGGTTGAATATTCCAAGATTTCCACCATTACAACACCAGCCTCATCTGTTTGGATTATCATTATCACCATCCTCCTTCTCCTCCTCCTCCTCATCATCACTAATTTAGCTTGGATGTCTGTGGGAGGAAAAAGCAAGAGATACCCCGACTCAATGTGGAAAGAGCTCTTGTCTGAAAGATAGGGATCCAGGGAGGATCTGAGGTCTGGATATGACATGGCCTCTGGGCTCATTCTGTCTGTAAGGTCCTTCATTGGAGGCAGTTGGGAATACTTTTTAACCCATTTCCATGTCCTGCATAATGTTTTTTGGCAATATTTGAGTTTAATTTTCAGAGTTGTTGGTTGAACCAATATTATTAGAAAGAGGCATTCAGTATATTGATTTTTATGTACATTAGGTAAAAGAATATTTATTTCTAACAGAGGAAATGGCTAGGTTAACTACTGTAATGGCTTTCTTCACCACTGGGAATTTTGCTGTTATTAGAGACCACTAATTATTGCTTGAGTCTGGTACAGCATAGGAAAGATATAAAACCCAGGTGTAGTTAGTGAAGAATATAAAATTGCATGTCACCTTACTATCATTGTAGGAGGAATCTGTCTTGGAATTTTTTTGTGTCTAGGTTACACCATGATGGTCCACAGAAGCTGGGACCTAAGGATATAATATATTATAGCACTAAACAGTCTGATAGAGTCGAAATCACAGAAGCAGAGAGCAGAATGGTGGTTGCCAGAGAGTGGGAAAGCAAAGGAGACATTGGGCAAAAGATACAGAATTTCAGCATTAGCAGGAATTAGTTCCTGAGATCTATTGTATTTCATATTTTCTATAATTAATAACAATGCATTGTATTCTTAAAAATTACTCAGAGCAGACTTTATGTGGTATCATCACAAAAAAATAATAAGCATGTAAGGTAGTACATGTATTAATTAGCTCAATTTGCCAATTTACCATGTATACATATTTTAAAGCATTATATATACCATATATGTATATAATTAGCCTATTTAAAAATAAATTTCTAAAGATAAACACAATTCATAATATTTTATCCATAGAAAATATAGCAACTTAAAAGTCAGTGCTTCAGTTGAAAATGGGTATAGAGTAATGGAGAACATGGAAGTAGTAGACAACTCAGAACCCGTCACTAAAAATAAATAAATGAAATTTCTGACCCAGAAAACATGCTGTCTGGACTTCACAAAGCTCGAATGTTGACAAATCTTGTGGACTATAAGTCCGGTGCTTAACCTCTGTGCACCTTGATTTCTTCATCTGTAAAATGGCCATGATAATACATCTTAAGGTGGCACTATGAAGAGTAATTGTGTTACTACATGTAAAGCTTTTAGAATAGAACTGACCAATCATTGTTAGCTCCTAATTTATTGTTTTTGTTGTACTTTTGGCTCTCAGATTTCAGAGACTCACAAAAAATTAGTTTCAAATGAAAAGATAACCATGATGCTACCTGTCTCTATTTTGTTGTATATTTCGGTAACAAATGAAACATGTTAGTGCAAAATAGTAATAAAAATAATAGTTCCGTGCCACATGATGGCATTTTTGTAAATGACTTATATAAAACATGGTCCTGTAAGGTTTTATTGGCAGGTGACATTACAGCCATCTTGGCTTGTGTGAGTCTAGAATGTGCCCCAGCATTAAGTGATATTAAGTGACTCTTTCTAAATCAAAACTGGTCTTTCTAGCTGTCTCTTTGTAAGATAAAAGCCAGAGAAGCTTTCTAGTTTTCTCCATTAAAACGTTTACAAACATATAATCACAACAGTTGTTTTTTAATTTATACTTTAATTTAGTAGAGCTTTATTAGACAGAAATTAACCAAATCCCAGAGAGGCCTGGAAACAAAAATGACTAGGAAATGTTATAGATTATAAATTGAGAATATTGTAAGACAGAGCTGAAGGCTAATTATTAGCAGAAACTTCTGGCATTCCAGTGGGAAAAAAGACAGTTACTTAACAGCAAATAATGGAATTTTGTTTCTGAGATAATAGTATGATGAGTTAGTTAAAAAGAGCTAACCTATAATAGGTTTATTAAATTGAGCAATAAAGTTCCATTTCTTTGAATAACCTGTTGTCAAAATCTTTACAGCTAACTTCATTTACAGTGAAATTAACTGAACTATTTATTTTAAAAGTTAGATATGAGTCTCTCTGTTTTGTTAGGGGTTAAAAATTTCAGGTCAGTGGATCTGGCTATGATCAGACCCCTTAATTCTGTTTTAATTATGGGTTCTTTGCCACTTCTGATTTTATAGTTATTCCTGACTGACATTCAAGCACTCATAGTAATTTTTTAAATATGTAATTTCACATAAGAGTACCCTCAAAGTGACCTTAAGATGAGCGACTCTAGACATAATTATAGAGAGGAAGGAACTGCTGGCCTAGAATGACTTGATAGCTTCCAGGAATATCTCATTTTTGAATTTTCCAGTTAAGCACTGTGGCAGTTTCACATTTCTACAAGCTTATGAGGAGCACAGGAAGGACACTGAGGAAGGAGTCACGTGTACAGCACATGTATATTCCTACTATTGTGTATTTGAAAACAGTAGGAACCCAATGTGATTAGCCACATCCTTCTCCCTGGAGACTTGAACCCTGAAAGTGCTTTTGCCCACCATACTCTGTCTTACTTGGGAATAATTGGCTTGTGGCTACATGTCATTTGTCAGAAGACCTGAACATTTGTTGTGCATAATCATTTTTATTAAGGTCGAAAAACTGATTGGTATTTGCGTGTTTTAAGATGCAGACTTAAAGCATGAGTTTTGACAAAGTGAATTTGAATTCAGTAATATGCAGTATGAATCACATTTCTCTAACTTTTTTTTTTTTTTATACCAGGGATCGAACTCGGGTCCTTGCGCTTGCGCAGCAAGTGGCAAAACCACTCAGCTAAATCCCCGGCCACATTTCTCTAACTTTAAAGTAACATTTTTTTTTCAGGTTCTATGTCCTATTGACAGTCTTTACCAAATGCATTGCTTCTGCAGTAAATGATATGTTTTAAATTGTTCAAGTGAAAGTTCTCTGAAATGCTAACACATATCTACAGTAACCTCTGTTTCATCATCTGTAAAATGAAGATGTTGAGACTATCTCTAAGATATCTTCTGACATTTAACATTCCCTGATTCTAATGTCCAGCCTTTTTTAATTATAAAAATATTTCACTGAATTTCTAAATGCTTATATAATATTTCAAGTTGCATGACTCTGCCTTGCCAAATGGTCCTCTCTGTTAACTGTCAACAAATGATCACCTCCTGAGAGCTCTTGCCCACTGGATGGATGTGGTGGTGACCTCCTGCAGAGAGAGGAGATGAGCATTTGTCTTCTAGGAGCAAAATTGCATCTGTTAGAGGTCCAACCATCTTGTCTTGCCATCATTCTGTGTTTGGTCATCAGAGAATATGAGCTATTAACTTGCTTTCCCTCTTCACATTTTTCATGTGCATTTTCCCAACAGAAAGGAGAACCTGACTGCTATGCACTCTCCCTAGAGACAAGTGAGCAACTCACATTCGAGATCCCCCTGAATGACTCTGGCTCTGCTGGCCTTGGGGTGAGCTTGAAAGGGAACAAAGCTCGAGAAACTGGAACAGACTTGGGGATCTTTATCAAATCCGTTATCCATGGAGGTGCTGCTTTTAAGGTGAGGAGGTTATGTTTGCACCCAGTGAGGCATTCCTTGGAGATGTGGCTGTTGTACGTGGGGTCCAGATGGAGGAGATGGGGAAAGATCTGAGACCACTGACACTTTCTTGTAGATACAGGAAAAGTATGTGTGAACAGATCTGAGGAGCAGTTGCCTGTTTTGATATTTTAGGTAGTTGATTTTACTTCCTAGCGATAGTTCTAAAAATTCATTGTAACTAACATGATTTTTTGCATCCCTTTTATTACTCTATTAGGATTCCTCTGAATTTGTAAACTAGCAGAGTTGAGCCTAAAGATACATAATCAGAAAAAGAAAACTAAAAACAAGTTAATGTAAAGGCAACAAATGTGAAAACTGTACTTGCAAGAATGAAATTCAGGGCCTGGGGATTTAGCTCAGTGGTTCCATCGCCTGCGTCGCAAGCGCAAAGACCGGAGTTCGATCCCCAGTACCAAAAAAAAACAAACAAAACAAACAAAGAATGAAATTCAGTAGAGCTGAGATGATGGTAGTATAAATTAAAGGTCATTTATCATGTTTTATGCACTTGAAGATAAACTTGGTGCCCAGAATGCATATTTACATCTGAACACTTGGAAATGCTTATATATTTCCAGGAAAAAGGGGAAACAGCATACCCTATGCCTTCACACTGGGATGAGCCAAGTGACCACAGCTACTCACATGATGTAATGCTTAACTAGATCACCTGTGTTCATGTCCAGCTTCACTGCTTTCTACCTGGGTAAAAACATGCGGTCTCCACCTTCTCTCGGTAGAATGAAGACAATAAACTTGCTGTAGCAGTTGTCTTCACATGTGTGCACTTTCACGGTTGTTTCAACATCGACACTGGCACTGATGGTGAATTCTTTAGACAGGAATGCTGAAATGGCAACCCAAAACCCACTCACTTATTGCAAATGCCAATACTGCAATTAAACCTGACTACTGAGGTTTTAATTTAGAAGAAACAACTCATACATGAACATCTTTTATCTTAAAAGAAAAACACAATAACACACATGCTATAGATTTGCCACAACTACACTAGGGTGATGCCTTTTTCCCTCTGGGAAATAAGAATTGTGCTGTGCATCTACATCTCTTTAATTCAAGCTTGGATTGGTTAGCTTTTGTCACATTATAAATAACCGCAAACATTCAGTAATCTATACCAATAAGCTTTTGTTTCCCCCAGCTCTGCGGGGCAGCTGGGAGTGGTGGTGGTGGCTCTGATTCAAACTGGTTTCCCTCTTTCTCACCCTGAAAATCCATTGTTCTGAGTGTGCTCCACGGATTTCACCACTTTGTGGTCAGCAGGCTAGCTGAGGTATCAGAGGATCAGTAAGATTTGGAAAAGCCCCATAATGCCTGCCCCTGAATTATCATGCTGCCAGTCCACACACACACACACACACACACACACACACACACACACACACAGTTGGCCCAAGCAAGTCAAGCACTGAATCCAAGGCTGTGTGGTGGAGAAATGCACTCTACCTACAGCGTGACTGTGACAAAGGAGGTTAAGAATTGAGTCCCATCATATTCTACAAAACTCCCCAACATGCCTCAGAATTTCACAACCAGGAATGGGAGGAAAATTACAGTAATAATAACAATGACAGTAGCTGTTAACACTTATTTTACTTGGTGCTTAGTATATGCTTGGACACCATCATGAGTGTTTTATATGAATTCTCTATTTTTATTCTTTGTACTCATATTATTATCATGTCATTTTATTAAAAAGGAAATCGTACCTGCCAGTGGTTCCTGACTCTACCGTGTTCAGATAGCCAGGAATTGCTTTGAATAAAATCCGACTCCTGAGCCTGCAGTGTGTGGCTCTGTAACATGGGCACTTTCCTCACATCCATTCTTCTACGCATTAGGGGCTGTCACCATGGAGTGCTCTTGTCTCTTGCTTATCTTCTTTAGCCAAGCCATCTAAACATGTGCTATGTTTGAAGTTGGGTTCTTGGTCATGTTTGTGGATATCAGCTTGGTATTATTCTTCTTATTCCTAATGACAGCTCTATTTGCAGAATTCATTCCAAGTCAAATTGAAACTGGGATTACTTTTTGGAAATTAAAAGCAAACATCTTTGCTTTTTTATGGGCAATAACTTAAGCTCAAGCAGATATTTGTGGGTGGTTGAATATGTATATCCCTGTTTGTGTAAGTGAACATCTCCTTACCTAAGCAGTTTCTAACATTCCCATTTCTTGCAGAAAGATTTTACTTTCTACTTATGTAAATTTCTTTCCTGACACTAGTCTGCTGAGTCAGACAATCACACCATTAAAAACCACTGGACAGCATATTTATAGCTGATCTTAAACAGTAAGAGGCATCAATCATGAATTTAGCCTTGTTGTGAATGTTTAGTATCCATTTGTCTTGTTTACCTTTTTTGGTAAAGGATGGAGAGGCCTGAGCTTTGCTCCTGTGAAATCTGATTAACAAGAAAAATATATTTTTCCTTTCTCCTTCTGTTTTTCCAATAATCTACTGACACTCCTAAGAAAATCATTGCCTGTTTTATGATTCTAGATTATGTCTTACAAAAATTGTTTTGAGACTTTTTCATGTCCTCACTGAGGAGATACAAATGTAACAGACTGCAGTGTCCCTAGGGCAAAGAGGAGATAAGCAGGAGGACCCTCCACCTTAGCATCTAGCCCTAGATTTTTACCCCAAATCAACAAAATTCTCTTTCTACCAGAGCACAATCTTTTTCTCCTGGCCTTTCATACCACTAATTGGTTCTCAAGGTGTTTTTCCCTTAGGGGAAGGTGGATTGTTGAAAACTAAACTACTTTGAAAAGTATGACCAAATTCTTTCTGTTGATTCTGTACACTGAATTCTCCTGGGGGCTACTGTTGGTATAAACAAAGACAGGCTATGGGGCAGATACAAAATCCTGAATGGCTCTTCCTCTAACTGAGGGCCTATTTTTTTGTGTTTTTTTCCCTCATCTCTCAGGCTACTGTTTTCTACCATTTCATCTCTTATGTGAATTACCTCATTGATCTGAAGGTCTCTATTTGCAATTGAGAGCATCTAGCTATTCTATTTAAGGTCAAACAGAACTATATTTTTATTGTATTTGAAAATTATCGAAATGCTTAATCTCCTCTTAATATTTAAACATTGAGTTTGTGTATTATGAAATAAGGCCCAGAAATAATGCCTTACAAATGGCAGGCAGTAATAGGCTGATTCGGCATCTGGAGCACTTTGGTCACCTCTCTGAAGTATCACAGTTAGCTGTGCCTCTTTATGTGCAAAGTGTGTTGACCATAACAGTAAAATACAAGTTCTTAGAGGATGGATGTTAATATGGTTATACAGTAGCACAGGTTACATGCTTCTAGTTTTGTTTTTGTTTCTGTCATTCTTCCTGGGCATTTGGCCCTGAAGTATAGTATAATTGCATCTACAAACAAAATATACTAGATATAAATATATATGTTAACTTCTCCATGACTAAGAATTATGACTTGGATGAAATCACAATGTCGTGGAGGAAGATTTTCTAAAATTTCATTTTTGTGGTTGCAATTCCACAAGATGTAGTATTGTTGCTGTTAAATAGAAAAAAATATGATATTTGTTGCATTTGGAAACTATCTTGAGAAAAATGTTTTCTTCCCCAAATCTATATTAAAACTCACTTTTTATTTTCTCAAGGATGGTGCAAATAAAGTACCAGTAGTCACTTTAAACACCTCAGTTATTTTCATATGTGTTTGCTAAACATTTTGAATTCTGAGATCAGTCACTTTCCTTTGGTTTGATTTTCATGAATCATATTAATTTTTTTTAATTTTAGGAAAAATACATTTTATATCTATACTGTTATTTACTTAAACTGTTGCTTTTTCTACCTAAATCAGTACTAGAGAAATATATAGCTAAAGTAGTGGCATTTTTAAAAATTTAGGTAACATATTAACACATTGTAAGAATAAAAATCTGATGGAGTCTGTTGTACTTGTAGTAAATAAAATTTTTTATTTGAATATCCTGACCTTGGGAGTAGAATCTGTCCTGCTGAAACCTTGAAATATTCAGATAAAAATTAAAATTTACCTCTGGCGTCCCAAGAGCGCTGTGAGAAGGACCCCGGCCCGGGACGCTGCCCCGTCTCTCTCCCCCAGCCCCTCATCCTCAACCAGGTGGGCACCACGGCAGGGGCTGAGCCACCTCATGGAAGGGAGAGGACCCTACCGGATCTATGATCCTGGGGGCAGCGCACCTCCAGGAGAGGCATCCGAAGCTTTTGTGCACCTAGTGGAGGAGAATTCACCGCTGAAGGAAAAAATGCAAGGGATAAAGACGTTAGGGGAGCTTTTGGAAGAATCCCAGATGGAGGCGTCCAGCCTCCAGCAGAAGGCTGAGGAGCTCGTCAAGGACAGTGAGCTGCCACCTGCTCCTTCCTTGGGCTCCTTTGATCACCTGGCTGAGTTCACAGGGAAGGACACAAATGTCCCAGCACCAACCAGTGCTCCTGCACCCCTGAGCGACAAGTCCGCACCAGTCCCAAAACCTCCATCCAGTGGCACATCCTCGGAATTTGAAGTGGTCCCCGCAGAGGAGCAGCATTCTCCACCGGAAAGCAGCAGCCTCCCCAGAAACTCCATGGAACCGCGCCCCCTGCCCCGAGAGGACGGCAACCTGATGCAGCAACTGCAGCGCCTGGAGACCACCCTGAGTGTGTGCGCCGAGGAGCCAGACCAGCAGCAGCTCTTCACGCACCTGAGCCACATGGCCCTGGAGTTCAACCGGCTGGCCTCCAATGTGCACAGGAACGAGCAGCGCACCTCCATCCTGCAGACCCTGTGTGAGCAGCTTCGGAAAGAGAATGAGGCCCTGAAGGCCAAGCTGGACAAGGGCCTGGAGCAGCGGGATCAGGCTACGGAGAGGCTGCGGGAGGAAAATATGGAGCTCAAGAAGTTGTTGATGAGCAGCAGCAACAAA